CTAAACCCTAAACCCTAAAAGATCCTAAAGGGGATACGCGAGAACCGAGGATTTGACCCTTTCCGCTTCGAGACGCTGCGGCTCATCGTCGTTCCGATTCTTCCTGATACCAACTTCAGAGTCCGATGGGCATCGATGCTCGGTTCAGGTTTTAGGGCTTAGTGGTCTTAAGAGGACCTTAACCCTAAACCCTATAAAACCCTAAGCCCTAAACTGTTCATCTTTTCCTTTACTGGCCTCAAAAGAGGATCTTATGTTACGAGCCATTTTTTCAGAGACTTTGAATGGCCAACCTAGGATACCAAACGATGGTGGCCGAATGCACCCCGGCCCTGAACAGCTGGGACAGTCCACATCAAAGCGGCTTTAGGGCTATTTAGGGTTTAGGGTTTAGTGTAGCGGTTTCGGCTGTTTAGGGGGCTTGTGGGATTGCTTCTGCTGTGTTTTTGGCCTGCGTCTTTTCTGTTCTCGACGCACTTCAAGTCTTCGGCATGCAGCTGTGAGGCTCAAAGAAAGCTGAACAGCTTCAGCCGCTACTATGGCGTGAGCTTCGGGGTGCATGTCTTCTGTTCCCGGCCCTTATTAGTCCCGCAACACCCCCCTCCCCCATCAAATACAAAAACAAACACATTCTGCCAAATCCTGGTGCTCCTTACCTGAAAGTCTAGGCGTTCCAGTGGTCCATTGCTCCGTCTTTGCGGCCTTGGGTTCTGTATCAAAACTACCCACTACCCGAACGGGAGCCCATGTCATTCCTAGGATACTGGGCACCCCAGAACTAGACCTAGTGACCCTACTCCAGGCCCGAGTCCCTATAATCTATACATCCTCAAATCCCCCAAACCAGGGATGATGCCGATCTGCCTGACCTGGAGCGCTGCAACTTGATGGGATGAAAAGATTGTCTGCATGAGTTCTTGTTAAGGGGTTTAATAGTTACCATCATAAAGAAACCATATTATTTACTATAGATCCCGATTACGGTGACTTAAATTAAGTTACTTAACAAGAGCCCAGTTGTCGCTCGCAGGCCTTGGTTGTGCATGTGCTATCTGATTGAAAATTCAGAGTTTGGGACCTTGAGATGGCTGAGGGTAGTAGGGTTCGGGGTTTTGGGGGTTTTTGGCACCCTAAACCCTAAACCCTAAACCCTAAACCCCTAAACCCTAAACCCTAAACCCTAAACCCTAAACCGTAACTGCAGTGTTTCAGCTCGCTGGTTTAGTCGTCAGGCTCCTACATGACGCTTCCGGTGGCCTCAAAACTCTGAACCCTCTTACGGTTTAGGCCTGAGGGTTCAGGGTTTAGCGTTTAGGGTTTTGAGGGTTTACAGACCCCAAAGCCTAAACTCTAAATTCAAGCTGCTGGTGAAGGGTGTGTTGCATCTGGATTCTTTAGATCGGCTCGACTCCTCATTTCTTTCTGTTTAGGGTTTAGGGTAAAGGGTCCCAGAGCTGCGCTAGACTTGAAGCAGACAGGATCCTTGTCAGGACGGACAATACGAGCCGGCATTCGAACGAACGTCTCTGTGCTAGGTTAGGAGCCATGCAGTACCCAGCACGGGGGTGCTAATAGGCTTTGATGGTGGGGGCTTTCGGCCTAGCCGCAAACTTTGGTACTTCTACCATGTACCTTGACACTCAAAGCGATTTGCTGCTATCTGCTATGTTACCATCTGAAGTGACAGTAAACCCTACACCCGAAACTCCTCCGACCCCCAACCTAAAACCCCAAATTCTAAACCCCAGGCCTAAAGTGTAAGCCTTAACCCCACCCGCTTCAATCCCCAAACCCTTGACCATAGTAAGTTCAAAGCAGCCGAGGCAACCAGAGCAACTACCTGAGGCAGCGGTATCGGGCCTGCCGCGCCCCCCAGGTCACCGCACGACCATCGGAGCCCATCAACTTCACGCTCCTCGCTATGAGGGTGTACCTAGACCCCCCAATTACCCTTTTTGATACCCAAATACCCTAAGCCCCCGAACCCTAAACCGTAAAACCCTAAACCCTAAAACCCTAAACCCTAAACCCTCTGAGCCCTAAACCCTAAACCCCCAAACCCTAAACCCCTTATGACACCTTTGGGGGGAGACTGTAGGCTATAAGTCGGTTTAGGGGCTGAGGATCGAGGTCTTATGGTTTTGGGATTTAGCTATTTCAGGTTTGGGGTTGAGGCCTTATGATTTCGGGCTTAGGGTTTAGGGTTTAGGGTTTAGGGTTTCAAGTTTTGGGGTTGAGGCCTTCTGATTTAGGGCTTAGGGTTGAGGTCTTATGATTTCAGGTTTACAGTTGAGGCCTCATGATTTCGGGTTTAGGGTTGAGGTCTTATGATTTCGGGTTTAGGGTTCAGGCCTTATGATTTCGGGCTTAGGGTTGAGGTCTTATGATGTACCGTTTAGGGTTGATGGCCTTATGATTTGTTTAGGGTTGAGGTCTTATGTAGTAGATAGAAGTGGAGATACCGCTCAAATTCTCCTACCTTTAAACCGCATTGACAGTAGCCCGTGCTGTAGGCGCGCCTTTCAATAACTTGCTTCGGGTTCCATACGAAAAGAAGATTCCAGCAGCTTATGTCTCGGGCTGCAGAATTTCAATGACATGTTGTAAAATCATTGGTCCCCGCCTCTCCGAATAACAGCAAAAACATCCTTTCAACCCCTGAACGAAAGCACAACTGCAAGAAAAGATGCCTAAACCCTAAACCCGAGCATGTAGCCCGTTCCTAAAGCTTTCGCACCCGGTGGTTTA